GTGGATACCAGGGGAACCAACAGGCTCCACTTTGTCAGTGAATTTTAAGAATTAGGGGAGGGGCGGTTTGTAAATGGCCACTTGGTGCACTCGGTTATCCGTAAGACCGAACATTCAGTCTTTGATCATGATGAGGATGAAGTTAGATTAAGACCTTTTTGTTCTAACACTAGACTCTGACCAACCCCCTCCAGTTTCAACAAGGTCCTTACTGTCTTGTATTGAGCACCTACTCTGTGCCAGGCGTTTCACATACATCACTTTCTTGCCTAGAGAGCCTGCTCTGTGCAGTTGCGGCGGGCCTAGCTGCAGTTCAACCCCGGGCTACGGGCCTAGTGGCTTTTCCCTGCCTCAGCGCAATACTGGAAGCCGCAACCGCGGGGAGGGCGCGGGACGTTGCAGTTCCCGCCACGTCCGTCCGCTAGGAAGGCGGCTTAGGGACCTAGGGCTCGAGCTGTAGGGGGGAGAGACAGCTGTCGAGGTCGCGCCCAGGGACTGCGCCCCCGCGGGGCCGACCAGGCGCTTGGCCGAGAGGAGGGGCAGCGAGGGGCGGGGCGCGCGGGGCGGGACGGAGGAGGGGCGGTGGCACCGGCGTCTCGGGCTCGGCGCGCCGAGGAAGTCCCGCTCCGAGAGCTGCAAGTGTCTGGAGGAGGCGCGCTCAGTGCAATCGGGGAGCGAAGTCCGGAGCCAGGGGCCCCGCTGTCGCCGCCGCCCCCTCCTGACTCCCGTTCAGCCAGGGTGCCCGCGGCGCCGGTGACGGCCGCTGATGGAGTTCACTTGAGCTGTGAGCCGCCGGGAGAGGCAGGCGCCCGCGAGCGGAGCGCGGGCCGGAGCGCAGCCAGCCCCGGGCGCTCGCCCGCCGCCCGCCAGCTCCGGCCCGGAGGCGCCTTCGGCCCGGTGCAGCCCGCCCGGCGCCCCGGCCGCTGCAGCGCCCCCAGCGCCGCGCGCCGGTGAGATTGGCCAAAAATAAAGACTCCCAGAGAGTCCCCCTCCGGCGCGGCGGCGGCGGCGGCGGGATCAGGAGCAGGCAGCCTGTGGCGCTGCTGGAGAGGCGGGCCCGGCAGTCGGGGAGCCCGAGGCTGCCGCCGGGGAGAAGCCGCCGCCGCCGCCGCGGTGCGCCCTCCTCCTCCTCCTCCCTCTCCCTCCTCCCTCCCTCCGCACATGGTCTCCTTTGTCCTGTCGCCGCCGCCGCCGCCTCGCTCTTAGCTCCGCGCGCCGCGGCCGCGGCTCGGGCCGCTCCTGTCCGCTTCGCCCGCCTTGCCGGCCCGTCCGGGACGTTCCTTGGGTCCCCGCAGTTCCCCACCGGCTCCGCGCGCCGCAGGAGCGGCCGGAAGGCAGCGGGAAGAGCGGCCGGGTGCGTCCCTCCCGCCACAGCCGCCGCCGCCGCCCTGCTGGCCCGGCCGCGCTCGGATGTGTGCGCGGCGCCGGCTCCCGCCGCCCGAAGCTGTCGCTCCCACACGGATCTGGTTCGTGCATCCGCTTCAGACTTTCGCTAGGACGGCAGGAGAGAGACTCTTGCGAACGGAGCCCAGTCGGAGTTGGGCGTTTTCTCTTCGCGTGTTTGGCTGGTTTTCCCCTGGTCTCTGACGATCCCCCATTGTGAACCCTGCTAAGGAACCCAACCATGAACTTGGGGCTGACAGGACCGCTTAACCCTTTGCAACCAGGTAATGCAGCCCTGGGGGCATAGCCCCTCGCCCGCCGCCCACGGTCGGAGGGGAGGCGGCTGGGTCGGGGGTCTTTTGTTGCGGCGGCCCAGCTTGCGGGCTGGGGTGGCAGGGGCGGGCTCCTCGCTCCTGGCGCGACGGAGCCCCCTCGTCGTCATCCTCCCTCGTGCTCTCCTTCCGCGGCCAGGACGCCCGCCTTTGTACTTTCCTCCTCGGCCGGCGGGCTCGGCCCGGGAGCGGCGGCTCAAGCGGCGAGAGCTGCGCTGTCGGGCCCGGGGGCCGCAGACGCCCCGGCGTCTCCCCGCCGGAGGGATGCCGCCTGACCCGGGGCTGGGCCAGGGCCTGCGCGGCTGGGGCCGGAGACCTTGGCGCTGGGCTCGCTGCGCGGTGCCCGCTCTCAGGTCGGATCCCGGCCCGCACGCGGTGCCAAGGCGAAGCGAAAGGATATCTGGGCTCGGGATTGACGGCAGTTTGGGAAAGAACTCACGCTTAAGTTTAGGGGAGGTTTCTCTTTTCTTGTTGAAAAGTCCCTCTTCCTGCGGGTGCCGAGGGCTGTCCCCCGAGTCTTCGGCCGAAGGAAATTACGGTGGACCCCAAACCGGAGCGGCTGCGTCCCACCCCCGTCTGCACTGGAGGCTTTTATTCGTTTCCCCCATTCTCTGTGTTCCTTCCTTAAATCTGTTTGACTTATTTAACTTTCGTTTAAACAACCACGGCGCCTACTAAATTTTTAGTATTAAAAAAAAAACAAACAAAAAAAAAACCCTGCTCTCGCCTCAAAGAGCAACTAAAAAAGCTTTCTCTTTTTTTTTTTTTTTTGTATCAATTTTTTACATATAGCCACTTAAAGCCCTCACCCCCTGTAACCGAATGCGGGGGATGAAACGAAATGGCGATCAAAATCTAAATACAGGTCCTTAGCATGTGAAGGTACCCCGCGTTACAAAGGAGGGAAGAAAAAGCTCCGCTCCTCTGCGAACTCTCGGCTCACCGCATTTCCATTTGTCGTGCCTGACTTAAAAAATATATATATGTATATATCTGAAAATAGTCCTGGTAACATAAGGAATTGAAGATTTTTTTTTTCTAAAATCAGTGAAAATGAAAACGTCCCAAAGATGAAACTCAAGGAGCCAAATAATTTGATCAAATGCTTTAAAAGTGTAAGTAAAATTTGGAAAGTTTATGAAGGAAGAGCAAAGAATTTTCTTGTAGTTTCTACTTAAGACTTTCGGTAAGAAGGTCTTTTCTGACTTTCAGGGCAGCGGTCTGCCACAGTTTTAACCACCTGAATGGAAGAGAGAAGGGACCCAGGATCATTTTATGATCAGCCAAAGCTCCGTCGCAGTCATTTTCTTCTGGGTGTTTTTGTGTGGCGGCCTTCTTGCGACTCCCCTTTCCCTAGTAGAAAGGGGCATCTTTAGAGGCTTTGTGACATGTATCATAAAATTAAAGGGCTCAAAAAGCTTTTATTAGAAGGTGTATTCCTAAGGCTCTCTGAATATCCTGTCAGACTTATTTCCATCATAACTTACTGGTCGGCATCATAATGGTCACATTTAAGTTTGCTTCAGACATAGGATCCCTTAACCACTTGAGAAAACAGCTTGTAGCCCAGTCGAGCTGACAAAGGTGGCAGCCCACAGGAGGGTGTGAAAGAGAACCAAAGGGCCTGTTCACCTTCACCTACAGCTTCTGTCCTATTCCATCTCTTTCTCTCTCTCACACGCGCACACACACGCACGCGCGCGCGCACACGCACACACCCCAAGTGCAAATAAAAGCTCCATCAGGAACCATTTCCTTTCCTTAACCCGTGCTTTTTGCTGTGGAGGTGCAGTAATTTGCTTTTATATTTCATTGAGCCAGTTAGGCTTATTGAAAGAAGTAATTCCAAAATCTGCAAGGGTTATTTCAGTCTGGAAAGATGATTTAATTAACAGACTTTTTTCTTTTAAAAATACTAGCTGGAGTGTATTTTTTAAGCCATTAATTTAACATAGCCATTCCAATTAAAATCTAGATACACTTTTTCATCCAAGAATGGTGAAAGACTCTTATCTCTTGTGTTTTTACCTGGAAAACCCATATTATCTAGAAATCTCAATCTTCTGAATCCCCCCTAAAATTGGAAGATTAGAATGAAAATAAAGGTAAAAGTAGTCATAATAAAAATATTTTATGTCTTCCTGTATCACTCGATTTCAGAACTAGAACATGGTCCCCAGATGTCCACAGAAATAGCTCATCTTCGTCAACATAACGTGGAAAACTAAACAGAATATTTTCTTTGTCTCTAAAACCCAGCCCCAAAGTAAGAATATTCTGTACTTCAGAATCCCCCCTTCCTCTATTTTCTACATTTCCTCCTTCTTAAAATTTACTTAGCATTCTGTGCTTTGCTTTGTCAAACATGCATCTCTATAAAGTGCAAAAGATAAGTGGTTTCTTACAAGGTTTGAGTTGCCAAAACAGCATAAATGTAACATAACCATTATAACTTTAAATGTAGAAACACCTTAAAATTAAATAGTAATTGTACTTAATTTTTAATTTTTCAAGTTCTAAAATTATTCAGTGCTTTTGAAAATTATAATATTTTCCTCCAAACCAACTTCATGTTTATTTTCTAGAACACTAGAGTATAATTTAAATTAGCTTTACTCTTGCTGTTTAAACAGGCTTATTTCACTTTGCTTAAGCCGGTGTAATAATTAGCACACATGATCTCTAGAAAATGGAAAGGAAATTATGCTGGTGGCATGTATAGTGTCAGTTTGGGGGCACTTTAGCTTGCTTTGGTTTCAATACCAAGGTCATTCTGATTACTGCAAGGGACGGGGATCTTGGGGTCATCAGATGACTATTTTTATAAATTAATTTCTGGGGATGCTAGTAGACACTTTTTAATGAGGAAAAGCTTAGCATTAAATAACGGACATTTCTGGTTTGTGAAAGAAAATTGAAAAATAGGCATGTCTGCAAATATGAAAAAAGTAGCATTTCCAAAATAATGACCTGTCATTGAAATTGCAAAATAATTACGTGAATGAACTGAATTGCTTTGTGCATCACCTCATTGAAATATGTTTTGCACAGATAATATGTCTAATAAGGACACGTTTTTAAAATCAGATTTTCCCCCCAGCAAATAGCTGCGCCTCAGGTCTCTCTCATGCAGTCGACTAGCACCACCTTATGGAGGATTGGGGAAAATGGCTGCTTCCCCTGTTTGGCTTTTCTAAAATGCAGACGTAAAATAATAGTAATCATGGTGGTGACAACAATATTAATGACAATAACATCACTTTTTTTTCCCTTCTTGTTTTTTAGGCATCAGATGCCAGCTCTGAAAAACTCTTCAATACTGTCATTGTAAACAAAGGTAAGACTCGGATTCTGAGCAGCGGCTCACATTTTTATATTTGTGTCATTGTCATTGCCTAGAAAGAAGGAATAAATAACAACGGTCTTTCTTTTTTTCTCTCTGGAATTGTTTATATTTTGTGGTTGTGCTTGAGACACACTATTCTTTTGTGATACATTAAAAACAGTTTATTTTAAAGAATACATTGAATCCTTATTTAAATTGATTTGGCACTACTATCTATGTGACTATCTGTGTGACATAAGTCACTACTATCGGTGTGACATTAATTTAATGTAGGAAGCAGTAATGGAGAATAGTAGTTCTCAAAATGCCTCAACTTTATTGTTAGTTATCAACTACCCAGTAGTTGGAGAGCTATAAGTAGTTGATTGGTACTGCAGACTCTAATAACCAGTGGCTGTTTAGTATTCACAATATTGTGGTCATAAACTGAGCCTTACTCTGCTGTGGGCTTTCTATAAAGTTAATAAATGAGCAAGAGGGCAAAATTTAAATATGTGCTATCCCATTAATTTCTTCTAAACCGCAATACGGAGGTAGAGAGGCTAATGATATAGCAGTACATGAAGGGAAAACTTATCTTAAATCATTGCCAATTGATTTCTGGGCAGTTTTCGTTTGTAGCAGTATTGTTGGAAATAATGAAATTTAAGGTGGTGTCTAATCAGGCACGGGCTTTTGCAAAGGTGTATGATTTGGAAGGTATCAATTATACAAACTGTTCGATCTTTTCGTCTCCACTGGAAACCCTGATGCAGGTGCTTACATGATCATTGCCCAGCGAAGGTGTGCTTTGCTGTGGGAATCTCGTTCTGTGTTACCTGGAAGGTACTTGCCGCACTTGTGCAGACGTGGGCTTTCAGGAAGGGAAATTTGAAACCACTTCCGCATTCCGTAGTTGCCTGGGCTAGCATTTTTTGCTAGATGGTTAGTAAGACACATTTTCAAGCGCAGTTACTTTGAGCTCCCATATTATTTTAGAATTGAAACCAACTGCAATTATAAGTAGTACATTATGTTTAGAGTTCCCTTGAGGTGTATATGCTTATGTCATTGCTGTTACTCCCAGAATTATTGTCATACTGAATTTTATCTTTTTTCTTTTTTGCATAATGGAGTATTCCAGTTTTATATTTCATCATATTTTTTGATGGAGTGAAAGTTTGTATGAATTTGCTAACATAACACTAAAAGCTCAATAAAAGATGTGTGCAATTCATGCCGTACATTACTCATATGTAAAAACGCGTAATTGTTCATTGCTCATTTTGATGACGGAGAGGAATGGTAGACAGTGGCGCGTCTGTGTGAAAAGCGGGGCGGAGTGGTAGGAGGAGGAGGCCAAGATAGGCCGGGTCACCAAAAGGAGGTGTTCTGTGTTTCAGTGACAACCAGGCCCCGGCCCCTCCCAGGATCTCCAGTCCCACGTGACTGTGTCTTTTCTTTGGCCAATTTGCTATAAAGCTTTGGAATGTGTCTCCCCTCCCTGGGATCGGCCCTGGAAAGCAGGTTGGCTGTGGGGCCTGCATTCAGGCTGCCGCTGCCCTCGCCAGGCTGAAAGGCCCTCGTCAGGGCGGGCGGAGAGTGATTGATGACGAGGAGCGCCCCTCAGCTCCTTCCCTCCTGCTCTGCCCCCTGCTTTCCCTTTTCCAATCAAACGTTTCCCACATTCTTATTTGTGTTTACTTACAGAGTGTGATTTGTGGCATCTATTTGGTTGTGAATAGTCACCCCCTGACAGGGTGCCTTTCTCCTGAGCTGCTTTTCTGGGGGCGATTTAGTTGCCTTAAAGGGATTAAGGTTTCTTTGTGAACACTAAAATCAACATAGGCTTTTTCTAAGCTTTGCTTGGGAAACCATACACAAATAAGCATTTTAGTTGATGGCAGATTATGCCTTTGCCCCTTATTTCCATCAAAATGGTCTTTCTTTTCTCCTCCTGAGTTGCCCCTTAATGCCTTATGCTAATTCCTGTTGGTAACAGGAATGACAAGAGGCTGAATCAATGCAAATCCAGGTGCTGCGGACTAGACTGACTGGTGTCCAGCACCCCGCCCTCCCCCCTCGAGAGAAGGGGATTAAGGGAGGGGGAGTGGATGGGGACAGTTTTGTTAAGGGGATTAGTATTCAAACTGCTAAACATCAGGAAAACTACTTCAAAAAGAGATTCATTGTGTAGTGGTAATGTCAACAGTGGCTTCAAGACAGGTGCAGAGAGTCTCGCTATGTGCTCTTGGTTTTTGGTCTGTTTTTACTCCGGGTAGTGGCAGTATTTACTGGATGGATGGTTGACAAGGCCTTCAAGGAATTGTCAGTTTCATACTCATCAAGTTCAAGTTCTCCTGCAAAGCAGCCTGCTTGCCTGCAAGTCAGGTGTCCTGTCTCTGTCCAGTCTTCTTAGCCAAGAGCAATAAAAAGCATTGTAAGAAAGGGCAAATTTACACCAGGTAACAAACACTGTGGGGAAAATCTTCAAAGCCTCAGTGTATTGAACTGTCGAGCAAGCGTGCAGAGAAGCTGACAGGTGTATTCCCCACCTCCAGATGTTTGAAGCTACACACCCCCTCTCCAGCTCCGGAGTTCCTCAGTGCTCCTGCCTCGGAGAAGCCTGGCTTTAAGCCGCTGCCGAGATGAGATTGTGCTGCTGAGCCCAGTGGCGGGCAGATTTGGGCCATAAAATTTCACTGTGGGAGGGCAGTGTTAATCTCACACACTGATTGTGATGGGGCGCTTGGCAAAGGGGGGCACAGCTTTGATGTTGGGATGTTGCGGATGAAGCTCCAGGCTGAAGCAGCAGGACCCGTGGCTCAAGTCCCATCAATGTTGGTGAGCTCAAATCAATCTTTCAGCCTCTTTAGGTCAGAATGTTCAACCATAACAAACCTCCCAGTCCTGGGCCTCACATCTCTGGTGGGGACTTTTTATAACATTTAGTTGGGAAGTGAGGAAGGTCTGAAACAGAGTAGGTACGACAAATGTGTTCTATATTACTTCTGCCCATTGATTTTATTTTGACATTCTCTGTGTTGTCAGGTCTGTCCAATTTAATACAGAACTAGTAAGATTTTGTGTTTAGGTGTTCTAAGTCGTTGCTTTCTTCTGATGCCTTTTAATTCCCATTTTAAAACAAATGAAGCAGTGAGTGTGTGTGTGTGTGTGTGTGTGTGTGTGTGTGTGTGTACCCACAACATGCCCAGTGAGAACTGAGCGTGTCCAAAGAGGCCAGAAGATGAGCCTCCGAAGTGCAGGGCTTAGGGTTGTAGACATAAAAAAAATAGTTTAACTTTAATCAAGGTCATGGTTGCCTTATTTAATTTTTATGTGTTTAAATGTTTACAGGATGTTCTTGTGAGTTTTATGAATCCTTCTGTCTTTGTGACTCAGCCATCTGCCAAAGAAGAAATTAATGTTCCTAGTGAGACAGAGACACACAGAGACTTACTTTTTGTCCATGTTTAGTTGGTTGAACTGCTGTAGCAGCAACAGGCCTTGCACCCAGAATTCTGGAGCATCTGTCCTTAAAAGCAACTCTCCAGGCCAGCCAATATGTAGCACCCTTTCTTGCCTACTGCAGGCTCTACTGCTTGTCAGTTTTGCCACTTTGATATATAGACAGAAATGCAGAAAATGAGTAGTTTGCTGCCTGTGACCATTCTGCCAAGATAGTTAATCTCTTTTAAACTCTGAAATTGCTTCAAGGGAGAGCTCCCTGAGGAGAAAAGAAAAGCAGGGCAGTGCTACCTGGGAGGAGGGAGAACACTAGTCTCTGGGGCCCTTTGCTTGTGTACCAGCCCCCAGGGGTGGGTTCATGGTCTAGGTTAGGGACCCTTTTTGCCACAGAGCACTCTTGTCCAGGGTCTGTATCCTGCAGGCAGGGCAAATTTTGAATGAGAGGTGACCAAGAGGTGCGGTTCACACCAGGATTTTCTCCCCCCTTCTTCCTTCACTCCTGTTGTCTCACATTGTAGCCTTGGCTCCGCGGGTGTGAGCTGTTAGAGAGCTGAGCTGGCTGAGTGGGCCTCTCGGAGGTGCGGAGAGGGGAATGACCCCGGGAGGGAGGAAGCCCCAGGTCTGCGCTCCCCCTGCTGTGAGCACCCAGCGTCCACTGAAAAGCGAGCAGCAGAGGAGCAGCCAGCCAGCCCCCTGGGCCAGCCCTGGGGAGCTCTGGTGAACACTCACTCACTCACTCATCCCCACGATTGCCAGATGGCACCCCAGAGCCCCCTGAGCTCCCTCGGGCCGCTTCTCCTTTTCCCAGCCCTACCAGGCCCATTGCTAGGTACGCCAGGCCTCTTCCTGGGGTCATTTTGTTCTGAGGGTTTCCATGGGACGCAGGTGAGATCAGAGCCTTTAGGCTAGTGGGGTTTTCAGTAATTTTGATAGTATGGTTTTATCAGCGGTGTAGAAAGAAAACCTGGCTAAAAAAAAAAAAAAAATCGCTTGAGATTTGAGGAGACCAGGTGACAGACATGTTAGCAGAGATATACCTGCTTGGTGTGATGAGGTTCAGTAACTGAGTACCTAATAAGTTCTGTAATGGAGATGATCTCACCTCATTCATTAGGTTCAGGAGCATGTAGGGGGACGTTCTTGGGTTTGGAGACCAAAAAGCTAAGTTATATCACCACCAAGGCCACCATTGACTTAAGAACGCTTCTCCTAAAATCTGTGCTTTTTATGTAAGTGAAAAATAATGCAGTTGACTATAGGATAGCCTTCTTAATTTTTTTTTTTTAATTTAGAGTTTAAAATCCAATCATAATGAACATATAGAGATCATTGACCAATTCCCCGCAGTGTCCTGGGTTTAGCTGTGGCAGGGCCTGAGGAGAGCCCATTTCAGCCTCTGTAAATGGGCTGCATTTTTCTACTGTCTTAAATCCTGGATAAGGGGAAGTTGTGGGACTGTCATGCATTCTTTAATTTTTTTTTCTCTTGACCTTTTTAAATACTTTTCAGAGCCCTTGTGGGGGGGGTGTCTTTAGGAGATAGAG